GTATCACCTATGCCTCCTCTGCAGGCTCTTTCTGCTTGTTTTGGAACTTTGTGTGCATGGCATTGTGATGTCTGTGGTGTTTTGGCTCTTGCGTCTTTGCTGTGTGAAGCTCCTCTGTGGTGTGGTCACACTGCACTGTTACCATTTCCACTGTTAGGGGACATTGGGTTGTTTCTTTGATTTGTCTCATGGTGGACAATGCTGCTATAAACCTCGCTCTTTTGTGTAAACTTCTCAGAGGAATATCCGTAGGGAAGGATCCCTGGTCCCAGGGAATGCAGGTTTCCACAGTGACCGCACCCGCTGCCCTTACCCACCAGCAATGGGTGCGAGTTCCTCTTGCCCGTCTTCATGTGAACTGGGTGTCGGCAGAGGTTTGCGCATTGGATGGTCGGGTGTGTAATGGTGACCACGGAGGGTGTGTGTGCATTTTCCTGTGTCCTCATGAGGCGGAAGACCGGCTTCTGTCTGTCCGCCATTCGGATTTTCCTTCGGTACACTGCCTGTTGGGAGGGCTGACCGGTTTTCCTGGCAGGCTGCTTATTTCACCTGTCCTTGGATCCTGTTGGAGCTCTCCCTTTTGGGATTGCAGCTGTGTCCACAGCTCAGTTCTTCGATATCCGTGGTGGCTTGTTTGAAATGGGTTACTGAATGGGTTCTTATAGGAAAGTAATGTTTTATATTCATAGGGAAAGTCTGTCTTGTAATAGCACAAATAGCCAGGTTCGGAGGAATAATAGGAACCTTTTCCTCATACAAAGAAATAAAACTGTGTTATTTGCTGAGAATGAAATAATTTGGGATGGTCTTGATTTCACATTTGTCAAAATTATTTGTGTCTCTTTTATTCATGTACTGCTGACAATTTGAGACTGTTAATAAATTTTCTAAAACTAGAAGCCAAGTAGATAAGCCAAGAAGGCCTCTCTCCATCTCTTCTTTACTAAGAGTTTATGTCAGAAATTGCAAAGTGATAGTGGTGGTCTGCTGGTATTTTTCATATGGTCTGAGCAATGTTTTAGGTTTTGGTTTTGGTTTTGGGTTTGGTGTGTTGTTGTTTTTCTTGGGGGGGATGTTTGGTTTGTTTTTTAGTTGAGACAATATTTTATAATTCAGATAGCGCATATAATAAAAAACTAATACACAAATTGCCCCTTCAACCGGGAGTTTCACTGCTCGCTATGACGTGAGCTGACCACCAGGGGGAGGCACAGAACATGGCGGATGTCGGCGATGAGGTGCTGGCAGCAGGCCACAGTGGAGGTGCTGCCGGCCCCAATGGGCTTCTGGGTGAGCCAGGCTGCAGCTGCTGGAACCACAGGGGCCGATCAGACTCCCATGGGTTGCGCAGGAGCCGGTCTGTGACGCTGGCCAGGAGAGAGTGTCCTGCCCACCCAGCTTCCATGCGGTGCCACTTTGCGTCCCAGAGGCCCAAACTGTGCCCCGGCCCATGGCGTCCAGCCGCGCTCACTGCTTCTCCATGTGGGGACTCAGGCGCCGTGACTTAGGCGGAGGGGGGCACATGGGAGCCCGGAGGCCCAAGTGCTGCCCAGGGCCCAGAGGTCAGCTGGGGCCTGCCCTTCCACACCAGACTCTTGCGCTTTGATCGCTGGCCAGGCCTAGAGACTGCACCTGTGCACGAATTTTGTGCACCGGGTCTCTAGTTTATATATATAAAAGCCTAAGCGACCGTTACAACCAGATGACCGGACAGCTGGCTGGTAGCTATGATGCACACTGACCACCAGGGGTCAGATGCTCAACACAGGATTGCCCCCTGGTGGTCAGTGCGCTCCCACAGCCAACCTCCCATTGTCCCTCCCCCAGCCAGCTGACCCCAATCGGCCCCAATTGCCGGCCAGACCGAGGGACCCCACCGTGCATGAATTTGTGCACCGGGCCTCTAGTCTTACATAAAGCTCTGGGATTTTGCCTTATTTTTAAAAATATGCAATCAACAGTGGATCCACATTCACACACACAGCAGCAATTTCCTGGATCTGAGTGGTGGCTCCTTGCCAGCTATGGAGTCTGGTTGTTGTTCCCCAGTATCTAAAATCCCCTTCTCCCATATTAGTAGAATTTTCAGTTAGCCCTGTGGTGCCTCAAATGAAGACTACATATCCAGTGTCCCTTGCAATCAGGGATAGCCATGTCCTTCTGGCCAGTGAGGTTAGAGAAAGCGGTGACTTCATCATATGACACTGGCTTCCACATGCTAGGTAGGCGTGCATACACTTACTACATACTTGCTAAGTGAATAAGTGAACTTATGGTAAAAAGCAGCGTCTCCTGTAGTGAGGTCTTGATTGCTACAAAAGTAACTAAATCCAAAGAATGAGTGAGTGCTGGGCTGATAAAGTTCCCGCCAACCCAGACAAAAACATACATGTGACTTGTGGTGATGATTAACAGAAAAGAGTTGTCCTTCCGCTACCATTTTAGAACATATTCAGGGATTTACCCCCCATAAAAAACTGACAAGCCAACTTCTTTGAAGTACAGAGCATAAAAGAAATGATTGAGAAAAATAAATATCATTACTGGGAGTTGACAGGTGACCTTTAATATGAATACATTGGATTGTGATATATTTTGGTTTTCAGGAAGCCCAAACCAGTTTCCCAAGATTGTCATTGTGGGCCGGCCATACTGCTCAGATTTCAGTGAATGGAGAGATTGATCTTCTGTAAAAACAGGAGCCAAGGGACTTTATTTCCTGCAGCAATTTGTGAAGCCGGATCTCTCACCTATAGGAAGGGCCACGAACCTGGTTTTGAAAGGAAATGTTGGCAGGTGCAGAGCATGGTGTCTCGCAGCCAGGTGACACTCGGCTCTGTTCCCACTGAAAGATGGGGAGTCTGGGGACAGTTTGCTCAGTGGGTTCCTTGGTTGCCCTGGGCATGGTCAAGAAGCTTGGAAACCAGAATCAGAAAACTAGCTTCTGTAGACAGAGAAGGAGAATCGCTTACCCCAAACCTGACCACGTGAGGAGAGTGACCACGTGACTTCCTACTTCGGCTCAGCACAGTGTGGGCCAGGCAGGCCTGACCGCAGCGCGCTTGGTTCCGTCCCCTGTCCCCTGTAGCAGTGGGTGTATGAGTGTTGAATGAGTGCTTCCGGGGCAGGGAGTGCTTGGGGCGGGGGCTGGGGGGAGGGGTTCAGTGTGTGCTCCTCCAGTTGGGGGTTCATCTCTTTCACTGTCATGATTCACGTTGGGGCAAACCCTAGGGAGCTAATGTACATGCCTCAGTGATGGAATGTAAAGATAGTGGGTTCTGCGTTTTCATTTGTAATTCGGAGTGAGGGTGACTATGCCTTGCAGGAGGGGAGGATGTTTATGGGGCGGGCGCTCTAGGACCCGCTCTGGGGTCTGTCCGGGAATCAGGGATTAGAATAGGTTGGTTCTGGTCTTGGCCTTCAGAGCCGAACAGGCTGGCTTTGCCTCCTGGCCTCTTCACGCACGTAGCCGCTGTGAGACACTGAGCAAGGGGCTTACCTCTCTGACGCTCACACTCGCACCTGTCCAGCGAGGTAACAATAGTCCCTACAGCTTGGGAAGAGCTGTGATGAGACGCATG